AATTCCCAAAGAGTCATTAAAAAGAATTCATTTCTGAGCCAGGTGCTGGTGGCTCACACCTGTAATCCTAGCTACTCAGGAGGTTAAGATCTGAGGATCAAGGTTCAAAGCCAGCCCAGGCCAGAAAAGTCCGTGAGACTCTTAACTCCAATAAACCACTCAGAAAACCTGAAGTGGCGCTGTGTCTCAAGTGGTAGAGCACTAGCCTTGAGCTGAAGAGCTGAGGGACAGCTCCCAAGCCCCACGACTTACCAAAAAACAGAACTCATTTCTGAAAGATAATAGAAATAGGCATTAATGTCAATTTGAGTTCAAAAGAACTCAAGAGAGGAAGTTGTAATTGCTTCACCAAAGCTAAAATCAACTTGTAGGAGCATGAGAATGGTCTTTGAAATATGAAGGGGTTGTCTTGTTATGCACAACTGTTGTCCCAGAGCTTTGGAGGATGAGGCAGGAGGGTATCAGTTGAAGGTCAGCCTGGCCTATATAGTGAAACTCTGTCTCAGTAAGAAAAGAAACAAAAGGATCCCAACTTTTCATATTCTTAAAGGCGTCAAATATATGTTAATCAAATAGTGTCAGCCAGACATTTGAACTCACCATGGGTGCTTTTTATCTGGAAACACTGTTCAGACCTAGTATAAATCTTCTTTTTCCTGTTTTTGACACTTTTAGAGAGGTTGCAGAGTATGCACATGTATTTTTCCTTACTTTCATTAAAATAAAATTGCCATTTGATTGGAATGTATTGTATGCATGTGACATTGGCTCCCCCTGCCCCTTGTGCAACTAATGTATGCTAATCCAAAAATCTTTTTTTTAATTGCCATTCAGAATTTCCATTATTCAAGCATCATTTCTCCATAGTACACCATGCCTGAAAAACCTTAGCTTTTGCAGAAATGTTTCAACTAATATTATTAACAACTTCAATCCACAAAAATCTTGTCAGCTGCTTTTCTAAATCCAACCACATCTCTCGTCAGCTAACCAGGCAAGGGTGGGTTTAGGGAGGGAAATCTATGAGATTACCATTCTGTTCATCCCTTTGAGTTGGCAGAATAGGGAGGCACAAAATGCCAACTCACATGATCCAAATAAGCCTTGGGCAACTGAGGGCTTGGGCTGGCTGCAAGTCAGGTCTGTAGAGTTAGGTCTACTCATGTGTCCTTCCTAATGTCCTTCCTTTAAGGCTGCACCCTTGTAGTTTTAAGAATAAAATGACAAACATGACACAGAAATTCAGAGGTGATGAAATGTACTCGTTTATTAAAACAAAAGGTAAATCTTTCTGAAGAAAAAACATGTTTCATTATGGTGCTATCTTCAGATATACTCATTCAAAAGTCATTTAAATTCATTTATTAACTTTGATAATAACAATAACTTGTGGGTTTTTTTTAAGTTTTACATATTACTAGAATTACAGAAAAAAACAAACATATTAAAGGGCATTTTGGTGGAATTGGCTTTATTTTCATATGTCTCCCTTCTGGTAACTCAGTCAACTGCCATGAATCTAGCATAAAGTGAAATCATTTCTGAAATAAAATTTGGTATTTCCTCTGCCCAGTTATGAAGTTAAAAGGCAGTGATGGAATTGATAACTTCTTTTAATGGGACTGTTGATCTATTTGTCTGTGTTATACATATTTGGGGACATTTTAATGGCTTGTTAGCAGTCTTCTCTCTTGGAAAGGGAGGGGGGGCTAAGAGAAAAAGAAAATGTTCTCATCATTGCCCTTGGACCTGCAGCCCTGTACCAAGGCCCTGAATCAAAATCTGACGCCCACTTAGCTCATGTGGTGTCAATGAGTGGGAAAGTGGAGGGCTTTTAATTTAGTTGCATTTTGCTTTCTGCTTCACCATGCACAGAGGAGAATTCATCAGGTTGAGAAATACCACCCACCTGTAAATGACAGCTTTCCAGATGAAAAGGCTGTGCATGCTTCAATTTGGGGTGTATTTAAAACTCCTGGGCAGTTTACTTTTCTTCCTCCACTCTGAATTTAGCCAGATGCTGGAGGAGAGAGATTTTCCTCGCTTAAATTCAAGGTTGGTGACCAGTGGTCCAATTCCCTCTGCTTCTCACAACTTAGCTTAGCTTCAGCAAGGTTTTTAAAAGTAAAAGACATTTGGGTAATGTGGACAGCAAAACAGTCATAAGGACCAGAATCACATTCTCTTTATCGCCTACTTAGAAATATTATGTCACCTTTTGAAAGAAATAATGATTATTTTACTCAGAGAGGTGGTGATTTTCTCTGAGACAGCCAACATAAATTTCCTCCTCCTCCTCCTTCTCCTCCTCCTCCTCCTCCTCCATCATTATTACTATTATTATTATCATCATCATCATCCTCTCACACTAAGAGGGTACAGCGATAGGAGGTAGATTCTAGGAAGTGAGTAAAGACCTGTTTCCAAGCTCTGGCTAGACAGGAAATCCAGCGCCTGTCCCTCCCTGCTTCCCGTTCATCCCCTCAGGCTCCGTCTCCAGTGCTCTGTTGCAGCTGCCTTCTCCGAAGCTGAGCCTAGGCTGACCTTGAAGGTGGGGAACGCGCTTTGGGAAAGTTCAAGGATGAACTTCGGGACCTGAGCGGAATGGACTGTGTGGGTGCTGTAAACATGGGCTTCGTTGTATCCAGGTCATAAAGGCTGCTTAGCCCCCTGGACACCGCCCCCCACTCCCCAGGTATCCTAACACCTGGCCTAAGACGCAGCTAGGGCCAAGCTATAATCTTGCTGGGAGCTTTGGCTCAAAAGCAAGGGTGCACAGCAGTATTCAGAGACTGGGATCTGCACCCCCCACACACACACACACTCCCCTTCATCCAGCGGCGCCAATCTTGACTGTGTGGGCAACAGAGTGAACGCAGAGGGCTGTTGTGTCCCTCCTCTACGTGCCCGCCCCTAGGAGGTGGGAAGGGTGGTCTGTTTCGCCAGAAACAGGTAAACTTTGGGAAGACCTCGGAACCACCTGGCAGCTCAACCCCTCTAAAAAGATATTTGAAGGAAAACTGCGTTTTCTTTTGAACGCAAATGGTACTTGGGGTTGGAGGCCTGACTCGTGTGGTAGAGCACCAGCTAATGATCAAAAGCGGCAGATATCAAGTTTATGTCCCAGTCTCAGACAAAACGGAAGGAAGGGAGGGAGGAAGGGAGAGAGAGAAAATAGAGTAATAAATAACAGAGAAATAAAAGGGAGAAAGGAGAGAGAACGAAAGAAAAAAGAAGGGGGACAAAGAGAAAGAAAAAGGAAGGAAAGAAGGAAGGAAGGAGGGAGGGAGGGAGGGAGGGAGGAAGGGAGGGAGGCAGAGAGGGAGGGAAAATCAGATTATATTGTAGTTAATTAAGGAAACCCACCAGTCACTAAGGACAACTCAGCCTTAACAAACAGAGTTGGAGAAACAGAACCATTGCCATTTATTAATAAAGTAAGTCAAAATTTCAGGCTTGAAAGTATTTGATATGAAATCAAAGTTACTCTTTCAACATAAATACGTCCAAGAGTGCGTTTATTCACCTTTTCCCAGCCTGAGAACCGGGTTGTGTGATATTTCCTGTGGGATTTAAACTGGGGTGCGGGGGAGTTCCCGGGGTTCGCGTTCGTCTCTCCCCGCAGCCTCCTCCTTGCTGCTGAGCGTTCCACACTCCCAGTCTCGGTGCCGGCTCTAAATCTGGCCGTGCCCCGTCCAGGAAAAGCCTCTCCCGCCACCCAAACTTGCCCTCGGCGGAGGGGGGGGGGCTTGTCTGGATCACCCCTAAACTCCAGGACAAACTTTCCAGGGCTCCCTCCCCACCTGGGGGCGTGGGACCTCGCGGGACGCAGGGAGGCTCCGCCGCTGCGGCGCGCGGCCGCCGGGGCGCGTGCTCTTTCTCCTCTCTAAAAATGAAACGTCGCTTCTCCAATTTGGTCATCCATCCCTCCCCCGCTAACCCCCCTAGAGAGGCAGCGAGCGCCCTCCGCGAGCTGTCTGCAGGTCCTACCCGCCTCGAGGAGTCGAGGAAAAGTTACCTTGTCCCGAAACGTGGAAGGTGCACCCAGTGGAGGAGACCCCTCCCCGCACCCCACAACCTGCAGAGCTAGGGCGGGGCGGGGGTGGGGATGGAGGAGGGAGATCCCCGGACTCCTAGGGAGAAGGCCGCACCTGGACCGGCAGCCGGGGGCGGTGGGATCCTGGCGAGCTGACCCGCCTGGGTGAGACTTCAGAGGGACCGGAGGAAGCAGCCGGGGCGGGGCGGGGGGGGACTGGCGAGAAGCTAGCGGCGCTGCGGAGAGGGAGCCGGGCAGGCGATCGCGGGCTTCTGGGTCCCTGCAGCTTCCCCTCAGAGGGAGTTCCCACGCGCCCAGAACGAGTCCTGAGACTCCGAAGTCCCGTCCGAGTCGTCCGGATCCTCCAGCAGACATCACTGGCCTCCCGCAAAATAATACTAATGAGGAAGAGGGGGGGGCGGCACTGACAGCCGAGCGTCTGTCGCATCCACTCAAGTCTCCCACTGTGAGGCGGCCCCCCCCACCCGATACTCTCCCGGACTTACGATCTCTCAGCATTTGGAGCCCCGGGTCTTTCCCGGGTCCCCTCTGGTCACACCCCGCCCCGCCGTCGCTGGGAGATCCGTCCTCGGAGAGCGAAGCCCAAGGCCGGCCCCGCGTTCAGCGAGGCGACCGCAGTGTGGCTGGCACCCGTGGGTCACAGGCTCGCAGGCTAGGGAGTCCCGGGGATCACACCCGCGGCCTTGGGGCTGACGTCCCCCAGGGTCCCCCTCCCTCCCTCCCTCCCTCCTCCCCGGCCTCCGTCCCTCCCCCTCGCGGCCGGGGCGTGGCGTCGGCGCGCCCTCCCGCGGGGGGCGTGGTGTTTAAATGCCCACCAGCGGGAGCCCCGGCGCTCGGGTCCCGGAACTCGGCTCCGGCTAGAATTGCGGGCGTGGGCCGCGGACGAGCCAGCGGGATCCCGAGCCGCCCGGCCGCCGCCGATGACTCCGGAGCTCGGGTCGGAGCAGCGCATCCCTGGGCTCCGAGGCCCCGGAGTGGATGAGACACCACTTCGCGGCGGCGGCGGCGGAGAGCCATGAGCTGTCTGGATGTGATGTACCAAGTCTACGGCCCTCCGCAGCCTTATTTCGCAGCCGCCTACGCCCCCTACCACCAGGTAGGAGTCTCCCCCACCCCCACCCCGCCCTCGGGGACGCTTCCCCGGCCCCGGGGCCCCTGGCTAGCCTCCCGCGCCGACGACCGCGCGGCTGGTTACCCGGCGCGCTCCCGACGCGCTCGCCGGGATGCGAGAATTGCCCGCGCTGCCACCCGGTTGGTTGTGCGAACTTAGCTAACCTGCTGAACTCGCCCATTTGCTTTCCCGGCAAAGTAGCTCAGCAAGTGTTTCTAGCACACCCAGTTCTTCTCGGAAATCACCATCAGACTGGGATGGCGAGGGCTGAATGGGGTTTGTTTGGTTTTGTCTTTTTTTTTTCCACCTTGGAGTTTGTTAAATTCCAAGTCTGGAGCATGCCAGGGCAGCTTCCATCAAAGTCACTGAGAAAACAAACAAACTTTGTGCCGAAAGGTGAAACTGACCTCAGAACCTACTCAGAAGCTGAGCTCTGTCTGGCTGCCCGAGATGCACACAGCCGCGCGTTCTCATTCCTATACAGTCGTCTCACCGATGAGTGCTTCCCTGTCTGATCTTCCATGGTCAGTTAATTCTAGAGCCTGCGAATTCGTTACAAGAAATACCGCCCAAAAGGCCATTGCTTTGCGATCTTGGCTCTGCCGGATTTGAAAGCTTCGTCTTTCTCAAGCCGGAGTATCTGAATTGGGCAGCCCGGATTTCAACATATGCACTTTAAATACCATTTAACCCCGGTCCTGCAAACTCTTTTTAGTTTGGTTTAATCCTGCCAATTTAGTTCTTCACTGCCCTGTGTGAAGGCCAGTATTCCAAGGATAACAAAACAAAACAAAAACAAAAAAGCAGACACTTATGGGTATAGGAATCTGAGAAGTGGGAGCCTGAACTTACTGAGCTCACGCCTCTTGAGTGAATGGTTTCTACCAATTTTGTTTGTAAATTCAGAATGACGATTCACAAATTTTCTGGTGGATTGGATTGGTGTTGGTTTTTCTCCCCTCTTTTAAACTTTCCAGCTTGAAACTTGTCTCAAGGTTAATTTTAAGAATCCTCAAAGTGCCTAATTGTAAGCCAGGTAAGGGCATAGTATCTGTTCCTCAATAACTAGCATCTTTTGATTGTAAACTCTGAAATTTATCAGGAGCTCCTTCTCAAGGTACTGCAGGGAGGAGAGATTGAGAGAGAGAGAGAGAGATTGAGAGAGAGAGAGAGAGAGAGAGAGAGAGAGAGAGATCAGTTAAGCTGTCTTTCTGGTTCTTTCTGCACCCAGCCCTGAGCCGATTTACTGCATTGGGATTTCTGTTCATTTTTGTAGGACTCAGGGGCTCTTGCAAGGCCATCTCTGCCTGAAGCATGCTTTAATATACAGTCCATTCCTCATTCCCAACCAAGTGGATGCACTTGCTGTTTAATCTTCTACTATTAAATACTGCAATTTACCTCCCAGGATTCTCACTTGCTTCCTTCTGCTCCCTTTTCTTCCCCTCACATGTGTGCAGTTACTGAGTACTAAAATGCTCAAAGACCACTGTTGGTTTCTTTGTTTTTCCTTGCTGAAATGATCCATTTAAAAACTGGGACCAACTTTTAGATGGAACTTTTATGAATGAACCAATATCAATTTATTAAAATGATGATGACAACCATGCAGGATGCTCTCCCACATGTTGACCCCCATTCATTAGCAGATAGAACTATTTCACACTTCCTGTGGGAATTGATCCTTTACATTCCTGGCTATGTAGACGCAGATCTTTTTTGTTTCTGTTTCATCATGGGGATGCTTAATCTTGTATCTTGCTCTGGATTCTCAGACAGGAAATAGTCAAGTGCTTACTGAACTTAGGTGTCCTTTATTTGTGGAGTTTCATTTTTAAAATATGTCAGCTGTAAGTTCTGCTCTGAGGTCAAACTGGTTTTTTGCCTGTATGCTGAGATTTTCACCAAGACATTTTAGAAGCTATTTCCCTATGGCTCAGCAGCAATGGTGGGGCACAGAGGTACCAAGAACTTGAATCTTCTTCTAAGAAAGCCTGCAAGCAGAGATGTTTCTCTCCATTGCTGATCTTATGTGAAGGGTGCAAGGCTTAGGCACAGATGCCAGTTTCTCCATCCGTGGGGATCAGGATGAAGGAGTTCAGTCTGAACTCTTGTCAGCTCTTTTGAATTTGATCTCTCTCTCTCTCTCTCTCTCTCTCTCTCTCTCTCTCTCTCTCTCTCACCAGAAACTAGCCTATTACTCCAAAATGCAGGAAGCCCAGGATTGCAGCGCCAGCCCCAGCAGCAGTGGCAGCGGAAGCTCCTCGTTTTCCAGCCAAACGCCAGCCAGTATAAAAGAGGAGGAAGGCAGCCCAGAGAAAGAGCGCCCACCAGAGGCAGAGTACATCAACTCCCGCTGCGTTCTCTTCACCTATTTCCAGGGGGACATCAGCTCTGTAGTGGACGAACATTTCAGTAGGGCCCTAAGCCAGCCTAGTAGCTACTCTCCCAGTTGTACCAGCAGCAAAGCCTCACGGAGCTCTGGGCCCTGGCGAGGTAGGAATATGGGGCCCTAAGGGAAAGGGTAAATGGGAGGGGATCTCTTCCTCTCTCAGCCTGGGGTTCCCCTGCAGGAACTCAAAAACACTGAAAGAATATTAGGCATCAGAGAGGAAGTGAGGGGAAGGTAATGTGGAGAGTAGAGCAAAAACTGTTCCTGGTGGGGGAGCACCGGGAATGCTTTGGGATCAGAAGGCCTGGGTTTCTAAGTCTCAGTATTGGCTCTACCACTTCCCAGCAATATGACCTTGGACAGGTCTCTTAACCTCTTTGAAGTCTTCTCTAAAATCAGAAGAACACTTGCCTTCCTAACCATCGCCTTGGTAGGCTTTGGGACTCAAGTATTAAAATGTATGCAAATGTGAGATGTGAGAAATGTGGGGTTTCCAATTCCACCCCAACCCTGCCTGCGCAGGATCTTCACCAATAACTTACAGGGAACTTCCCCAGTTTCTTAAAAATTTGTCCAGAAACAAGAAATCCTAGAGTCCCTTACAGTGAAAAGATCTGGTGGGGAATAATGCCTTTGGTAACTAACCTATACCTCTTTCTAGGTTCCAATTACTTAAGAAGTCTTCCATCTAAACAAACAAACAAACAAAAACAGTCTTTACAGTAAGCAAAGAAGCAAGCGTTTAGGTACAACCAAAACACCTATGGTGGTTTTCATAGAACACTTCCCTTCTTTGTCTACCCTCCCTGCAAAAGTGGCTTTAGCCTAGCCAAAAACAATGACTTCCTGCACTACTCAACTAAAGTTTTCTTCTAGTTTGCAAAGTCAACCTCCCTCCAACGTAAAGGTGGCAAAACCATTTAGTAAATTCTTTTCACCAGCGAAGTTTTCAGTGTACCCTATGCTCAACAATGAGAATTTTGTTGTAAAATAGAAATCAAACTTTCATTAGCCATTGTGCTTGGGGGGATGACAACCCCAATCCTTTTTGTTCTTTCTTAAGAATGGAAGTTTGCAAAAAATATAATAACCTTGCCCTTAGACAAGGTTCCAAAACATTAATTTTAAATACAGAAATGTGCTTTCTTCTCCAGTTGCCTAAGTGCACTGAGAGTACATGTTCAAATCATTGTAAAATCTCTGGTATAACACAGATGTTTTCTGCAGATGGAAGCCACCCTAAAGAGCATTGAATTCAGTGGCAACACGATGGATAGAAAATGCTGTTCTCTTAAAATGCTGCCATTCATTAGGGGTTAACAGTGATAGTGACAATAATAATTAGCATTATTATTCCCAGCGTTCTTACTTTGATGCAGAAAGTTTGTTAATTAAAACGTAGGACCCCAAGCCTGTCCCTTCCTGTCCTGTGCAAATAATACAGTTGCTCTCTTATGCTTTCTTCTTCGGGCCTTGGGGAAAGTATTTGAAAGAAAGTTTCTAGAAAGAAAACTAATAATAGTAATACTTTGAGATACGTCAATGGACCGACTTCCAGTCTGTTAGTGACATAGGACCGACGCAAGGAAGGCTGAAATGCGATAGGAACAGAGAGATGGGCAGCGGCCTGACTAGGGAAAATCAGCTTTAGCTTGAGGAGAGGTTTCAAGCAGATTACCTTGAAAGGCAGGGAACACTCTCTGCTCCGCAAAACTTTCTCAGGAGGGAGAGGACCTCTCCCCCTCTTCCTGGTCCTTCCCCCCGCAACCCCCCCCTCAAACAGCACCCCATCCCACCCCCAATCCGGGTTTCTGCAAGAAGCTGTCTGCCAAGGCAGAGGACTCACACTTCCTTCCCAGGGGGTTCCCTTGCCCGGTTCCTGGGTTCCCAGAACTGGCCTTCACCCACCCTGGGCAGCTTCCCGGAGGAGGACCGCTCCCCCCTCCCCGCCCCGCATCCTCGCACCCCCCCGCCCCCCGCACCACGCTTTCCCGCCCTGGGTCGCCCTGCGGTTCGGGTTAGCACGCCGGTGACACCGCAGTGACCGGTTCCTCTCTCCTTTTCCTCCCTTCGGCCACCCCCGGCCAGCAGACAGCACCTACCCGATGAGCCAGCGCAGCTTCCCCGCCTCCTTCTGGAACAGCGCGTACCAGGCGCCGGTGCCCGCACCGCTGGGCAGCCCGCTGGCCGCCGCGCACTCCGAGCTGCCCTTCGCCGCCGCCGACCCCTACTCG